AAAAGAGAAAGGACCCAAATAAATAAAATCATGAATGAAAGAGGAGAGATCACAACTAACACCAAAGAAATACAGACAATTATAAGAACATATTATGAGCAACTCTATGCCAACAAATTTGACAATCTGGAAGAAATGGATGCATTCCTAGAGACATATAAACTACCACAACTGAACCAGGAAGAAATAGAAAGCCTGAACAGACCCATAACCAGTAAGGAGATTGAAACAGTCATCAAAAATCTCCAAACAAACAAAAGCCCAGGGCCAGATGGCTTCCCGGGGGAATTCTACCAAACATTTAAAGAAGAACTAATTCCTATTCTCCTGAAACTGTTCCAAAAAATAGAAATGGAAGGAAAACTTCCAAACTCATTTTATGAGGCCAGCATCACCTTGATCCCCAAACCAGAAAAGGATCCCATCAAAAAAGAGAACTACAGACCAATATCCTTGATGAACACAGATGCGAAAATTCTCACCAAAATACTAGCCAATAGGATTCAACAGTACATTAAAAGGATTATTCACCACGACCAAGTGGGATTTATTCCAGGGCTGCAAGGTTGGTTCAACATCCGCAAATCAATCAATGTGATACAACACATTAATAAAAGAAAGAATAAGAACCATATGATACTCTCAATAGATGCTGAAAAAGCATCTGATAAAGTACAGCATCCGTTCCTGATCAAAACTCTTCAAAGTGTAGGGATAGAGGGCACATACCTCAATATTATCAAAGCCATCTATGAAAAACCCACTGCAAATATTCTCAGTAGAGAAAAACTGAAGGCTTTTCCGCTAAGGTCAGGAACACGGCAGGGATGTCCATTATCACCACTGCTATTCAACATAGTACTAGAAGTCCTAGCCTCAGCAATCAGACAACAAAAGGAAATTAAAGGCATCCATATCAGCAAAGAAGTCAAACTATCACTCTTCACAGATGATATGATACTATATGTGGAAAACCCAAAAGACTCCACTCCAAAACTGCTAGAACTTGTACAGGAATTCAGTAAAGTGTCAGGATATAAAATCAATGCACAGACATCAGTTGCATTTCTCTACACCAACAACAAGACAGAAGAAAGAGAAATTAAGGAGTCAATCCCATTTACAATTGCCCCCAAATCAATAAGATACCTAGGAATAAACCTAACCAAAGAGGCTAAGAATCTATACTCAGAAAACTATAAAGTACTCATGAAAGAAATTGAGGAAGACACAAAGAAATGGAAAAATGTTCCATGCTCCTGGATTGGAAGAATAAATATTGTGAAAATGTCTATGCTACCTAAAGCAATCTACACATTTAATGCAATTCCTATCAAAGTACCATCCATTTTTTTTTTCAATGAAATGGAACAAATAATCCTGAAATTTATATGGAAGCAGAAAAGACCTCGAATAGCCAAAGGAATATTGAAAAAGAAAGCCAAAGTTGGTGGCATCACAATCCCAGACTTCAAGTTCTATTACAAAGCTGTCATCATCAAGACAGCCTGGTCCTGGCACAAAAACAGACACATAGATCAATGGAACAGAATAGTGAGCCCAGAAATAGACCCTCAACTCTATTGTCAACTAATCTTCGACAAAGCAGGAAAGAATGTCCAATGGAAAAAAGACAGCCTCTTCAATAAATGGTGTTGGGAAAATTGGACAGCCACATGCAGAAAAATAAAATTGGATCATTTCCTTACACCACACACGAAAATAGACTCAAAATGGATGAAGGACCTCAATGTGAGAAAGGAATCCATCAAAATCCTTGAGGAGAACACGGGCAGCAACCTCTTCGACCTCAGCCGCAGCAACATCTTCCTAGGAACATCACCAAAGGCAAGGGAAGCAAGGGCAAAAATGAACTATTGGGATTTTATTAAGATCAAAAGCTTTTGCACAGCACTGGAAACAGTTAACAAAACCAAAAGACAACTGACAGAATGGGAGAAGATATTTGCAAACGACATATCAGATAAAGGGCTAGTGTCCAAAATCTATAATGAACTTAGCAAACTCAACACCCAAAGAACAAATAATCCAATCAAGAAATGGGCAGAGGATATGAACAGACATTTCTGCAAAGAAGACATCCAAATGGCCAACAGACACATGAAAAAGTGCTCCATATCACTCGGCATCAGGAAAATACAAATCAAAACCACAATGAGATATCACCTCACACCAGTCAGAATGGTAAAATTAACAAGTCCGGAAATGACAGATGCTGGCGAGGATGCGGAGAAAGGGGAACCCTCCTACACTGTTGGTGGGAATGCAAGCTGGTGCAACCACTCTGGAAAACAGCATGGAGGTTCCTCAAAATGTTGAAAATAGAACTACCCTATGACCCAGCAATTGCACTACTGGGTATTTACCCTAAAGATACAAACGTAGTGATCCGAAGGGGCACGTGCACCCAAATGTTTATAGCAGCAATGTCTACAATAGCCAAACTATGGGAAGAACCTAGATGTCTATCAACGGATGAATGGATAAAGAAGATGTGGTGTATATACACAATTGAATACTATGCAGCCATCAAAAGAAATGAAATCTTGCCATTTGCGACGACGTAGATGGAACTAGAGGGTATCATGCTTAGCGAAATAAGTCAATTGGAGAAAGACAACTATCATATGATCTCCCTGATATGAGGGAGAGGAGATGCAACATGGGGGGTTAAGGGGGTAGGAGAAGAGTAAATGAAACAAGATGGGATTGGGAGGGAGACAAACCACAAGTGACTCTTAATCTCACAAAACAAATTGAGGGTTGATGGGGGGAGGGGGTTGGGAGAGAGGGGTGGGGTTATGGACATTGGGGAAGGTATGTGCTATGGTGAGTGCTGTGAAATGTGTAAACCTGGCGATTCACAGACCTGTACCCCTGGGGATAAAAATATATGTTTAAAAAAAATAAAATTTAAAAAAAAATAATCATCTTAGATCAACAGAAGACCAATCTTCAGTGTCGTCCTGCAAGATGGGTTAACTTTAGCAATTTCCTCCTGTTTTCTCCAACGTCCTCCTTTAGTATGGCTGGTAATTGTTTTGGTGATTGCCACCCCCTCGAGATGCCTTGCCAAAAGTGCTCTGTTGGCCACTGTAGTCTGCCATATCCATAGTTCCCATCCCTGCCCATATCCATAGTTCCCATAGTTATACCCAGTATAATCATAGCCACTATAGTTTTGATCACCAGCATAGGCACTATTGTAATTTCCATATTCTTGATCATAATAGTTATTAAATCCTTGGTTCCAGTTTTGGCCCTGACCTTGTCCACTACCCCTCGTGCCACCTCGTCCACCAGCTGCAGCACCTCTTCCTCCTTTTTGTTGCTGCTGTTGCTGCCTGTATACCTCTTTGGGTTGTGCAACTTTGATTTCACACTTCCCAGAACCGATTTGATGATACCTGCTTTCTAAAAATTTCTTTACTGGCTCTTCATCTGTATATGTGATAAAACAAAATCCTCTTCTTTCGTTTGTTTTTGTATCCATGGGAAGTTCAATATTTTCAATCTCTCCAAAGGCTCCAAAATACTTCTGAAGAACAAATTAAAGAATTTGCTAGTAATTTTTGAGGACTTTTGCATCTGTTTTCTTAAGAGATAATGGCCTGTAGATTTTTTTTTTCTTGTGATATCCTTACTTGGTTTTTGTATCAGGGTAATACTGGCCTCACAGAAGGAGTTGGCAAGTGTTCATTCCTCCTTTATTTTCTGGAAGTGTTTGTGAAGAAATCAGTGGTAGTCATTTTTCTTTAAATGTTTGGTAGAATTCACCAGTGTAGCTATCTGGTCCTGACCTTTTCTTTGTGGGAAATTTTAGAAACATTTTTTTTTTTATTACTAATTCAATTTCTTTACTTGTTATAGGGCTGTGAAGATTCTGTTTTTTTCATGAGTCCAGCCTGTTTTTGTAAATGGGGTTTTTACTGGAACACAACCATACTCATTTATTGACAGATTGTTTGATACAACAATGATGAATTGAATGAATGAAGTTGAATACTTGGGATACAGACTGTATGGCACACGAAGTCTAAGTGTTTACTACATGACTCTTTATAGAAAAAGCTTACTGACCCCTCTTGTAGAACTTGAGGTTTTTCAGGAATGCATCTGTTGTATAATAGTAAGTAAGCTTATATTTAATGAGCATATATTGGGTTGCACCGTATTAAATTGCCATTTGTGTAGGTCAAAAATGGTCAAATACTGGTACTTACACATATGGTCAATGTAACATAACTTTCCAAACATAGGAAAATGAATGGAGTACAGTCTGTGCCCTTAAGGAGCTACTAGGACCCGCACTCACGTACATGCGCATGTGCACACACACTGCCGCTGTCTGTGAATATAGGAATTGTTAATCTAGAGGCACAAGCTCAGTATTGCAGGAGCACAGAGTAGCGTGTGCACAGTTCTTACCAATAAGGGTAAGGGAAAGGGACTAGAAGCTTGAGAGGCCTCCAGAGAAGCGGCTGTGTTTCTGGCCACTGTGCATTTGAGCTGTACTTCATGGCACACATAGGATTTGTATCAGGTAAAAAGAAGCATTTTCTAGAGTTTTCCTCAGGGGTGGGAGTGGGATTGACATTGAACCATAAGAAACATGCTACATTTCTTTCCTTCAAACAGAATTGCAATTCTTCTTGGAAAACAGTTGCTGAGAATTAGAGGACATTAAAGATCGAGTGTGCATGACTCCCGAATTTTTAGATGAAGGTTGGAGGCAAAATGATTTGTTCAAGGTCTCCCTGCTGTTGACCAGTTATTTTATTGGCACGACCAGAGCCTATGTCTTCTAAGCCCCAATTCAGGGTGATGTCCATCAGGCCACTTGGATGTACAAGGCAACAGAGTCAGAGAAATCACCTACTAGGGACACTGGTGGCAGACAGGCCTGGGTTTGAGTTCTGGCTCTGGCACTTACTGACTCTTACTCATCACAGGGTTTGTGAGCCGGAATTGCCTCCTACACAGTCCCCCTAGAGTAGAGGATCGGAGCTCAGTCTGAAACCAGACTCTCCGAATTTCATCCCAGCACCACTACTTACTAGCTGTGTGACCCTGAACACATTACTTAACATCTCTGGGCCAGTAATATGGAGATAATACTACTACTTATCTTACTGAGCTATAGGACCCAGTGAGTTTAGGATTAAATGGATACATAGGCACACAGAATAATGCCTCGGACATACAAAGTACTGTATGCTAACATTATTATAAGAAAAACAGACTGTTAAAAGAGCCAAGGAGGATAATTTACCTGAGCCTTTTTCCAGACTTGTAAAACAATACAAGTAGAGTATATTATTATTCTTTATGTGAGTTAAAAGACTGGCAACCTGGAGATTGAAGGTGATGACTGTCATTTATTAAAGCCTTACTATTTGCCAGGTCCTTTACTTCTATTATTTAAGCATCACAAGACCCAGAGATGGTTATTACTTTTGGTTGATGATAGTGACTGTGTAGCTGAGCATAGGAGGGAAGCACACAGACTCTGGGGCCAGGCTATCTGGATCTGAATCCTTCCTTGCTCAGCCTCTTACTAGCTATGTGAACACAGATGAGTTGCTTACACCTTGTACCTTAGTTTTCCAGTCTGTAAATGAGAATGATGAAAACAGTTTCTGCTTCACAGGTTGTTCTGAGGATTAAATGAGATAATTTTGCAAAGTACTTAGGACAAAGGAAGAAAGGAAAAAAGGAGAGAAAGAGGGAGGGAGGGAGGAAGGGAGGGAGGTGCGGGAGAAAGCTAGCATTAGTGAGATTATGCAGGTTGCTCACAACACATGACTCATACATTTAGAAGCAGGGGAGGGTAAGCAGGTCTGTGTGGGTCTTCTCCAAAGCCTATGCCCTTTCTGCTTAACCAGACTTAGGAGAAAGGCAGAGATGGGGAGATGTGTTTCAAGACATCAGGCAGAGCCAATTCTCCAGGTTTCTAACAGCAGCATCTTGTTCCAAATGGTTGAGTGATCAGGGAAGGTATGAGCCATTAAATGATGTTCAGAGCCAGTCCACTTCACATCCAGCCAGGGTCTCTAAGGCCACTTGGTAGACAGGTCCTTCCTCCACTGAGATCCTTGCCAAGGACTTGCCGTGCTGGAACTCAAGCCTCCATCTTTTCACTCTTCATTTGGCAATACCTGGGGACTTTGGGCAGGGGCTCAGGGCCCAGACCTGGGAATTGCAGACCATAGGCAAAGGTTGGAATTCTTCCTTCCATAACATCTCATTTTCCAGCCTTTACCTGCTTGCTCTCAGAGGGCAAAGGTCCTGGCTGGGCATTGTGTGGCTGGATCACCTACTGAAGTCCTCATCTGTGTTTTGTTCTCCTTATCTCCCTATCTCCTTATCTTTGTACCTCTCCTGGAATCTAAGAAGCTAGTGATTGTAAGATAGTACCACTATTTGTTATTTCACTAAGAAAAAACAAAACACACTACCAATTAACCTATGATACGTGCTTATCATTTAGAATCTTAATTTCATACTCCTGAAAGGAGCTTGCTAGTTCCTTTGAGACATAGATTTCAACATGGATCACTGCTATGGACATATAAAAAAGAAAATGTAAACAAAAAATTATTGAGAGTGGTCCTAAAACCTCATCATATTCAATGTGTAATGCCTCTGAATCACTTTTCAACTTAGAGATGTCTGTGGTCACCGGTGTTTGTTTTTTCCACACAGTGTCAACCTTTGGTGCTGTTCAGTATTGGTGATGTGGCATTTCCTAGAAGAGTCCTCCCTAGGGGTTCCAGGGATTTTTTTTTTTTTTTAAAGAAAACTCTACAAATTTTGATGTTGACATGTTCTTGGTCTTATCAGGATATTGCAGTGAAAGGTTTTCAGATAACAACCAACACTCCTATTCCTCCCTTAAGTGATCCTCAATGGTTTGTTGACGGAAAGGTCAAAGAGTTGTAGGTGTTCAGTCACACTGCCTGGAGTATCAACCAGATTTGAACATGCACAGGAAATGATACCTATGTCTTGAGTCTCTTTGACCAAAAGCTATGCTAAGATATCAGTAATGAGATGCCTCATAGTATCAGAGATGTTTTAAGGCAGGAAAAGATGTACATCTTAGAATAGATGGAAGAAGGGTTTTTCCAAGAAGGGAGCCAGTCCACTGTATGTCTTTGCATGGGATGTGAGACCCTTTCCTGGACTTTTTTGGGGAGTTTATTGGGGAGAGAATCCTAGATGGCTCCTAAACAAAGTGAGGATGGAGGGGAGCAAGTTCGTGCTGGGTGTGGGGCAGAAGTGAGAAGGGCAGAGAGTAGAGGGAATCCCAAGTCTAGGAAGGTGGGCAGTTCTGTGAGATGTCAGAATGTGAGACTGGCTCCCTCCCAAACTTTGGGGTGTCAGGATCTCACTGTGGACAGTCAAGGTGCACCCACAGAGGTGTTCTTAGACACTGGGCTTCTGCATTCTTTGGGACTCTCATGGCTAAGCAGGACCCATCACAGTACAGCTGCCTGATTTCAGAAAGCAAAATGGCTCCCAGAGTATTCTGCTCTTTCTTTCTTTTTTTTTTTTTAAGATTTTAAAATCTATCTATCTATCTATTTATTTATTTATTATCTGACAGAGGGAGACACAGTGAGACAGGAAACACAAGCAGGGGAGAAGCAGAGGGAGAGGGAGAAGCAGGCTTCCCACCGAGCAGGGAACCTGATGCCGGGCTCAATCCCATGACCCTGGGACCATGACTTGAGCCGAAGGCAGATGCTTAACAACTGAGCCACCCAGTCACGCCTCTTCTGCTCTAACTTTGAGGCCCTTTCCTGGTCCTTCGGAGTGAGAGGAAGGTCTGATAATGGCCAGAATCAAGTATTCCTGACTGGCCAATGGAGTGAGGCTGGGATTCAACTTTGATTTAGAGAAGATAAATGTGACAGTTTTTGTCTACTCTCTTTACACAATAAGAATAAATTCATATATGTTACTTGTCTGTTACATATGTTAAATAAGTTTTGTTTTTTTTTTTTTTTTAATTAAAGATCTTCTCTGGTTGGAAATAACCCTTGAGCCCAGCCTTGGTTCCCCCAGAACATCTCTGTGTGGCTTCATTGGGCCTTATATGGTATTTCTCAGTGGGTCACTAGAGGCATCTGGGGCCAGAGAAATTGTGAACGTTGCAGATGGCTTGTGCAATTGGCTCCTCCACATGTCAGTGGTGCTCCCTTGGTCACTATGACAGGTGCAGGCACTTCCCACATTTCCAAATGGCCCCCCTCAGGGAAGCACCCCATCTTGTGGAGAACCACCAGGGTAATGGGCTACAGCCATGGCATTGCTGAGTGATGGGAGCAACTCATTTGGACTCTCTAGGGTGACATTTCACTCATCATTGCCCCTGTGATAATTCAAAGATAAACTATTAACAGGGACAGCAAGAAAGTATTTGAAACAAAGGAACCGCAAAACAACTAACTGTATAGAAACATTATACTCTGTGAGAGAAAATGTAGGAGAAATCATATATGCATTATTATTAGTGCCGCAAAGATTAT